AGACCAAAAAATTTTCATTACTTATCTTATTTAAAACAAGTAGTTCCTTTTTAAAAGTAGATTCCATAATCTCCCTTTTTATCTTATTATATCCATATTCTCTCTTTTTTCTTTTCATAATACATTCAGTAGTCTACCTTTTGTCATTTTTATATCTTCCCCTTTTTCTTTAGTGTAGATTCAATGATCTACCTATTAGTCACAATAGGAACGGAAGATAGAAGTGAAATGTGTAGACTAGACCCAGCAAAGATAAGAGGCAAAGATAAGGCCACTGTTTCTTCTAGGTACCAGGGATTGAGAAGAGGTCCCGGAGAAGGGAGCAGGTAGACTCAGAGACAGGAGATATGCTATGTTCATAGGTGAGCAGTGGGCAGAGCATTGTCCAAGTCCTTCTGTTGAGTTCATAGACCACACATGAACCAGGCAAGCCAGTCTCATGTGTGGGGTGGACCTGCTGGGTGAGGGCTGCTGAGCTTAACGATGAAACTAGCGCTGTGAATACCTTGGAAAGATGAGTTCTGCATCATTCCACTGTCATGAGTCCTTCCCCATTTCCTCTGCAACAGAACTCTTAAACATCATCCTCGTAGGAAGGAGTGGGACCGGAAAGAGCGCAACTGGGAACACGATCTTGGGGAGACCTGCCTTCCTGTCTCAACTCGGAGCTCAGCCTGTCACCACTAGAAGCCAGAGTGGGAGGAGGACGGTGGACTGGCAGGATATTGTGGTTGTGGACACTCCGTCATTCAGCCAGTTGCCTGAGATTCAAAAGGACCCTTCCAGGATGGAGGAGGAGGTCAACTACTGTTTGTCTCTCTGTGAAGAAGGAATGAAGGTTTTCGTCCTGGTGGTCCAGCTGGGTCGGTTCACCCACGAAGACGAGGCAGCAGCGGAGCAACTGGAGGCCATTCTTAAGGAAAAAATTATGATTGTGCTGTTCACACGAAAGGAGGATCTGGAGCACGGGGACCTTCGTGACTACACTAGTAACACAAAGAACAAAGCCCTTAAAAGAATACTTAAAAAGTGCAAGGAGCGAGTTTGTGCTTTTAATAACAAAGAGACTGGTCAAGACAGGGAGGCCCAGGTGAAAGAGCTGTTGACATTGGCCAATAGTCTCAGACAGAACTGTGGTGAGCATTCACATAAAGGGTGGTTTTGGACCAGTTTAAAACAGTAGGCCAACACATTTCTAGGTTTTTTTTTTTTAAATGATGAGCTCAAGTGAGCAATTAAAAGGTCTGGGGACACAGGGATGCCATCAGACAGAGGTGGGTGGGATGAGGGATGGCATGACTGGAGGGGGGGTTCCCCTCAAAGAAAGTTCACGACTTTGAAGCTTGAGGGATAAACGCACCTCACGTTGGATGTAGGTGTTCGGATGAATAAATTGTCAAGTTAGGCCAGGCAGTAGGGAATTAGAGGGGGAAGAGAATACAGTAGAGAACATGGGAAATGTTTTTAAAATCAAGATGATATGAAGGGTCAAAAACATTTCAGCAGTGTAGGTTGAACAGAGTCAGGACTGACACCATGACCAAGGCTCAAGTTAACACTGAGCCCCAAGAACCCTGAGAACCAGGGGATCTGGGCGGATCCACACACAGGGACAAGCCCAGCATTCTTGGGCATGGCAGAAAGTGGATGTGAGCATCAGCATTCCAACTTCATTCTGTCTTTGTGCCCAGCCTCACTGGTGTGGGACACTTACTCATGGTGTTCTGTGCATGGCTGCGAAGATCTGCTGGAAGTTGCTTGAGGTGGACAGCATGTGAGATGAACAATATGAAACCTTCTGCAAGGTATAGTAAGGGTCAGGCATTTTAAATATCGGCTACTTTCATATGTACCTTGAGAATATATATATATATATATATATGTGTGTGTGTGTGTGTGTGTGTGTGTGTGTGTGTGTGTGTGTGTGTTTAGTTAGCTTCAAGATTAACCTATTGGTAGGATAATGAAGTCTGGAAATTGATATTTTTTTTGATATTATACTTTATCTTAGCCAAAAGGCTGAGAAGTGATTCCACTATAATTGAATGCTACATATGTCTTAACATGGTAATGTCTAGAAAATGTATGTGTAAATATATTGAGTTGAATCATATAATAAAGATGAATTGGATTATGACTTTATGCTTTCCTCCCAATGGCATTTTCTTGTTTAGGTAAAGAGCCTAATTTCATAAAGAGGCCACTGAAATGTTTATGTACTTTGGCCCAGGTGAGTTTTCTCTGGTGCCTGGGGGTCTTTTAAATGAGTGACAGTCACTTGTATGACAGGCCTTTGCCAGCTCTGGGATTGTCTGCCCTAGACATTTTACCAAACCAAGGAAAAAATGAATGGGAATGGCTGAGAACCAGGAACAGGAGGATTGAGGTCTGGATGATAGTTGTGCCTCTTCCCTGAGATTCCTTTCTGCTCGAGGGAAGTCACACATCCCTGCTAGCTACTTCGGGTTGAGCAGGTGACACTTGGAGCTGGCCATGGTCAGGGATGCACGGGATAAGCAATGTGGTATATTCTTGTTGTAGGATCTAACATACACTGAAGCATTTCTTGAGGTCCATTTCTGAGTGGAGCAGTGGTATCGCTGTCAGTTGCTCTAACAAGCACGTGGAAAGAGACAGGAGAGTTGGAGGTTTACAAGGGGATGCTTGTATAGAACAGATGAAGGGGAGTGGAACAGGCCGGGAAGGCTTTGGGCCATGGTGCCAATCATGTGCCCTTGAAGGGAACACAGAAGGGCAGGAAACTGACAGAGCCTGTGACAGATCACAAGGAGCTCCACAGTGCAGACCGCTCGGTCACGAGTCCTGCTCTGGAGACACAGAGTCTCTGCTGGGCTCAGCTTGACACCAGGAACTTCCTGGGAAGAGCATGGCTTCATGGCCAAAGCTGAGGTGGGTCCTGAAAGCATTGCCTTTGGGGGCTGCCAGCTAGATGTATGCCTTGGAGCTGAGTAACAGGTTTCTTCTTGGAGAACATTCGAGGCCTTTGCTATTGGAATGCTCCATGTACATTCACTGCCCACCTGTGTCTAGGACGCTCTTCTTTCAGGATCCGGCTTTTCCCAGGGAAACTGGAAAAAGATTTCCAGGCTGAACTGCAGTCTTGGCCCTGCATTCTACCCGTCTCAGACTACAGTTGGCTCCAGGCACCCTCCTCCCCAGCTCCCTGTTCTCAAAGCCACTCACCTGCTTTCGCCTTTGTTCATCTTGGTACTTCCTGTTGCTGTGACAAAATCACCACTCCTGAGGGATCAGAAAGGTCCCTGGTGACCATAGACCCCCTAGGCTGAGGTGGCTGTCCTTGCCCATTCTCAGAGGCAGTTGGTCCCAGGATGGAGGGCCACATATATTCCTCTGTGCCTCTTGTACCACAGCTACATGACTTCCTCTCACTGTCCAGGGCCAGTTGATGCCACTAGGATGAGGTTTTTCTTCATGTCTGCTTATTTGTGAACACAGGGAGGCCCCAGTGTCCAGGTGGCAGCCATAGCTCACCCATCAATGGGACTGTATTAGTTCCTCTGCACTTTGCTATGGTCAAACACACGATAACCATAAGGAGAGAAGGGAGAAGGGAGGGAAAGAAGAATTTATTCTGGCTCATAGTTTGAAAGTCCAGTCCATTATTATCAGAGCAGGCACTGTGGCAGGAATAGGAGGCAACTGGTCACATCTTGACCAAGATTAGTAAGCAAAGAATGATGCATAGTGGTGCTCAGATCACTTTCCCCTTTTTATTCAACCTGAAACTCCAGCCCATGAAATGTTGTAACCTACAGTTAGGGTGGGTCTTCTCACATCAACCCAATCTTAGAAACTCCCTCACCGCTAGGCCAATAGTCACAGGATGTGCTCAACAAAGACAGGATGTAAAAATGTCACTATTATCAGCACAACACATTTCTCCCCTCAGCCACATACAGTTCCTGTTTGTTATTTTTCACCTACATTGTCCTCACAGATGGTGTTGACAGCTTGTGTTTCCTGCAGAGGAAAGGGCTAGACTGAGCAGAATCCAGTCTGCGCAAAAGTGTCACACCCCAAACAGTCTCAGGCAGCACAGTTAGCTTTTGCTTTTCTTAAGTCAACAGTGCCCTGAAGTTTAGCAAGAGGTTATGCTCACAACAGCTATGACTTCCCCCAGCCTCCACCCCACCTGATATTGTGGCTAGGACCCCAGCAAGGTCTTGTTGTCCCTTGGACACGTTTCTGAGGTTGCCTGGAGAGCGGACGGCATGGGCATCTGAAATCTGTCGCCTGGTGGATGGTGTTTGTGACTTGTTTGCATTTATCTGACTCACCTGAAGCTACTGCACACTCCGCAGCGCTGATTAGCAAGCCTGTCTCTCAACCCTATCAGTCACTGTGTCTCCAGGATGTCAACCTTCTCAGCTCTGTTGGTCACCATGTCTTCAGCATGTCACCACCCTCATTTGTATTGGTCACTCTGTCTCCAGGAAGTTAACATGGAAACGTTTACCAGGAACTTTACTATTTCTTCTGACAGTTCCTGCTCCCATCAGGCCATGAGTTTCCTGTGACACTCCTAGTCACTCCACTGGCTACATGTTCTCTTCTTCTATAGATCCCCATTTGGGAATGGTGTCATTATTTGTTAAGTTCCAGTGAAACTTGACATTTTCTTTTAGTTACAACAACAACAACAACAACAACAACAACAACTTTATAGCTCTTCACTGTATCCTTCCCTCTTGTCTTTACATAAGCTATGGTCATCATGATGTTTTGGTCTGGGTCATGGCTGCTGTTTCTTAGGACTGAACTCTTTCAAGACTTGCTTTACCCAGCCTTCACTGAAGCCAGGTTCTGTCTATAAGGCTTCTGTGTGCCGTGAAGTGATGTCTGTGGTAACGGCAAAGTGCTCCAAAAATTGTTACTTCAAAAACAAACAAACAAAACCTGAGAACTTTGTGTCCTAACCGTGGACTGGGCATAAAAATGGCAACTGAAGAAACACAGCAACAACATTAAGTTTTGTGGTTGATTTGCTTCACTTTCCATATCCAAAAATCTTCTGTAGCCTTAAAAACAAAACCAAAAAACAAAAAACAAAATAAAACAAAAAATTTAAATAAACACCATAATGTAATCTATAATCACCATGAAAACCACCACCTAGCTTTCTCTGAAGGGGAGTCAAATAAACTTGGAGTTCCCTCAGAACCCCATTCCTAGAGAACTGACATTTTTGGATTCCTGGAAGACCCTACAGAAAGGCTTGTCTTTGGTCTAACAGCTTGCCTGGTGGCAACAGTCTTTTCCCTATGAATGATTCTTGAGAACGATTGTTTAATACCACAGATGAATGGGGCAGTGAATGACAAATATGGGAACATTTAAGAGGAAAGGTCAGGAGTGAGTTCCCCGTGGGGACTTTGAAAAGCTTTGACATACTCCTGGGAACCCAGGAGAGCACACATGGACAGTGTGTACATGACTGGGGCTGGGGAATGCTCAGGACAGACCAGGGCATGCTGCAAGATTCCACTCCTGCTTGGTCTTGAGGCTCTTCACAGGCAGAACACAAAATAAAGGCAGAGTTGTGCACCCCTGGCGAGTGTTGAAGATGTGTCCCAAAACACACACCAAGAACTCCTCCAGTCTGGGAGAATTACTCAGTCCAGGAATCTAAGCCACTTTGTTTGATCATTAGTTGACCACTGGACTACCTGAGCAGACTTCAGCGACATGTGTATGTGCCAAAGGGCACAGACTTTACAGAATCAGATCTGAATACTCAACAAAAACAAAAACAACAGCAACAAAAACAGACCTTGGCACAGGCAACCTGGACCTGACCTCCAGAATCACCACACCCTATTATTTAAAAGAGTCCATTTTCAACAAAAATTAAGCAAGCAAAGACAATATCACCTAATGTGGTGGTTTGACTGATAAATGTCCCCATAGTTTCAGGTACCTGAACAGTTGGCCACCAGTTGTTGGCACTGTTTGGGCAGGTGTAGGGGGTGTGGCCTTGCTGGAGGAAGTTTGACAGCGGGACTGGGCTTTGAGAGTAAAAAGCCTCATCCTACCTGTAGTTAGCTTTCTCTGCTGGTTGCTTTCTATTCAATATGCTAGCCACCAGCTTTCTACTCCATCATTGTACACCCCTGCTTCCATACCTCCTGGCCACAACGGACTCTTACCCCTCTGGAACCAAAAGTCCAGGTAAATGCTTCCTTCTACAAGGTGCTTTGGTCATGGTGTTGTCACAGAAGCAGGAAGTTAACCAATACAGCCTGTATACAGAAAAAAAAATTCCAATGAATCTGTCCAGAGAAAGCTCAGATGTAAGACTTACCACAAAAGGTTTTCAAGTCAGCTGCTAAAAATCTTTCAGAATAAGCAAAGGGGACATGTCTAAAGAACTAAAGATATGTTTAAAGGATTGCCCCGTTAAAGAACATTTAAAGAATGCACCAGGAAAGAGATGCACATTGTGTTTAGAACACCAAGTAGTGGCTCCGGAGTTGACAAAAAGCATAATAAAATGAAAAGTTCACAGCAGGGCTTGATCGCAGATTTGAACAAGCAGAAAAAGCAACTAGTGAACCGGAAGGTGGACAATTGAGATGTACACTCTGGGAACAGAGAGCAAAAAGGGACTAAGAGAAAGCAGCCACATTAGGGACCTGTGAAGTTTATGTGTAATAGGAATCCCAGAAGGGGGAGGCAGGGAGGAAGAGGGAGCTGGAGAGATAGTGATCATATTAAACAAAATCTATTCATCTGCACATCAAAGACATTAATGAACTTTAGATAGGATAAACTTAGAGGAACTCATACCTGAGCACATTATAATCAAGTTTTCAAGAGACATCGAAGAGAATCTTGAAAACAGTAAGAAAGAAGTGGCCCGTCATGTAGAAGGGACCTTGAAGAAGAGTGCTGCCACTTTCTCATCACCAACCAGAAATCAGTAAGTTGGCACAAAATACTGGGAAAAATGTCAACCTCAAATTCTTTATCTGGCAAAACTCTTCTTCAAACATAAAGGAGAAGCTGTAAGTGTCGGCCTACACGTCTAACCTCAGTACTGGGAAGGCTGAAGCAGGAGGATTGCTGTGAGTTTGAGGCCACCTGTCATACCTTCCATGCTG